CGCGGGAAAACAACCAAACTGCCTAAAGCGCGGGAAAACAACCAAACTGCCTAAAGCGCGGGAAAACAACCAAACTGCCTAAAGCGCGGGAAAACAACCAAACTGCCTAAAGCGCGGGAAAACAACCAAACTGCCTAAAGCGCGGGAAAACAACCAAACTGCCTAAAGCGCGGGAAAACAACCAAACTGCCTAAAGCGCGGGAAAACAACCAAACTGCCTAAAGCGCGGGAAAACAACCAAACTGCCTAAAGCGCGGGAAAACAACCAAACTGCCTAAAGCGCGGGAAAACAACCAAACTGCCTAAAGCGCGGGAAAACAACCAAACTGCCTAAAGCGTGGGACAACGCAGGCGATCAACTTGTGATTGGTTTGGGTTTTGCATCTGATTGGTTGAGTTTTCTGGACCAATCACAGGGGAAAGTAAAACAAAACCAATACTACCTCAGGTTATTTTCGACATTCAGATTGAATTGCTGTAAAGGACAATGTTTACCTAAATACCGAATACACACCAAGTAATACGAGTGTGGTATAATGCTCATGAATTGTATCGTTTCTTTCTTCAAATAATGAAAATGCTCACAGAAGACTGCCAACATCCAAAGTAACCTTATGAGCTCAAATAATGGCCATCTAATGGTTATTTGTAATGAGCGGAGTATATTACTCATATCTGTATCTTAAGTCGGTGGTAAAGCTGAGAGCTCTAATATGGAGCAACATGAGACTTTTAATTAACTCTGAAGTCAGCAAGACTGAAAAATCTCAATGCGTGTAGTGCTATTTGAATTGATGCCCCACAGAAAAAAAAATAAATTTGACATTGACATCCAAAGAGCATTTACGCCTGGAAGAAGGATTGTAACCCCGTGCCATCCCCGCACAGCCCATACACAACCTTCAGAAACTTCTGATATTTAAACACTACAGGTGGTCAACCAAAACTCGCTGAACAGCAAATATAGCTTAGAGGCTTTACAATTCGTCAAAGTCCCAGATTTGGACATTAGGACTATTCTCCACATTGGATAGTTTACCTTTACTCAGACGTAGGGAATAATCAATCGATGAAACAAAAAAAGCACTGAAAAAGTGAAGTAAAAACCTGTATTAGCACAAATATTGCGAAAAAATTGCCGTTGGTTAAAATTTATTTCGTTTATGTGCTATTTTTCATAGTTCCCTATAATATAAATTCTAGGATCAACATGCACGATCATCTCTCGTTTCGACAGCTGATGGCACCAATGAGAAGGAAGAGTCTTCACTCTAAAAGAAAAAATTAGAAAAGAGTTTTTAATAAGTTTTGTGTTCGATAAGTGATTTAATTGTCCTTTTCCCTACTTTTGTTTTCTTTTACAGATTTCTTTGAAAGTTTCAATTTTTTTCGCATACTTCAGTACGGTTGCTTGTTCAGCATATCTTCGTTCATTATTTTGCACGGAATTGGCGCTTAAACCACTAAATTTATCTACTTGCGCATGCCCGACGTTACACTACTGTTCCCAACCGCTTGCGACGGTATCCTATCATCTCTTCCATGGTCGGATCATTCTATGTAGATACCTACGGATAGATGTCTAAACATGGCAAGCTGTATTTAGCGAACTCCCAAGGGACTCTTCTGAGGTCCGCTATCGACTTAAGCCATTAAGGACTTGGGCAGGTATCTGCTTACCGCAGAGTGTATGCATAATTTTCAAGCCCTGCTTAATATAGGTTTCACTATCATGGACTGTGAATATATGAAAATCATTTAAGAGCGATTTGCGCCGTAATGAACACTACCTCAGCAGTGAAAAATACGCATGAAAAAAAAATTGAACGTACGACCTCTGCGATACCGGTGCAGTGCTCAACCTACCGAGCTAACGAGCTAACTGGGAGGTGGTAACTATGTTGGTTCGCAATTAACCCGTGATCTGACGAATCAACGAGTTGTGAATTTTCATTACTTCCTACTAGTGTTCATTGCTGCCAAGATCGCTCTCAAATATATTCCTTAAACCGAAGTTCCCGTATATTCCATTCACATTATATGTGATTGATTCATAATGACATAATGACATTGAGATTGCTCCCCGAGTGCAATACAAAGATGATCACTGACGATGGAACCTTGAAGGTCGATTGGAGAATGCACATTTCATTTGAAGAACTATTGATTATACTGGCCATTAACAAATGGGACATTACATCCCAATAGGCGCAGCCAGAGAACGAAGAAAACTGAAAATAACAAAGTTAATCCTTTCCCTGACTTACCACATCTATAATCCAAACTTGAACCAGAAGTCGAAGGACAGGTGTCAGTGATTTGCTCTTTGTTTTTTCTTCCAACGAGGCATCTATGCTTTGCCAAATTCTCCTGACTTTTATCCGCTCGGTACACAAAGTCGATGTCAAAGCCACTGGTCAAACTATTTGGAACACATATCCACTTTTCATGGTTACTGGGGCCGGAGGGCGGAAGGACACACGGTACATCGAGATTCTTTTCCGTAAACTCTTGCGGGATTTGCACAGATTGAAAATGGCAATGTCCCGTGATGGGAATAATATGCACGTCCGTTCGTTCCTCGGCTCTTTCGACGATCCCCGGACAACGGATCTGAAGGCAGGCGACAAATTCATTTTTTCTATTCGAATCAACTGCCATTGTAGCATAATCGCCGACTTTGGAATCTGTCGCACCCTGCCGGTTTCCACGGAAACTGGAAGCGAGAAACGTCGCCTTTGCACTATGCGCAAGGACCTTGATAAAGCAAACATCCTGTTTGTTTATGTCGCTGGGGCTAGGCGGATACCAGTTGAGTGGGTTATTGCTGTCATCTATGCGTGGCGAGGACAAGATAAATGTTGCGTTGGCGCCTTGGGGGGGTTGGAAACGAAAATATTTATTGGCTCTACTTCGCCTGTAGCACCTTGCGTTGGATTTAGAAAAAGGATAAACTGGTCCACTGCCTGTAACACTGGTATAAAATTTGAACGACTCAACTTTTTTTGGTATTTCGAGGTCGCTTGAAACGACTCTAGCATTTGTTCCATATGAAAAAGAAGCGATGTTTCCTCCGTCTGGCGTTAGAAATCTTGAATTATCACTTTCTGCCTGCAGGTAACACAATCTTTCTCGCCAAGTTGGAACACAAGCGATGCCATCGGAGTTCGATGTTCCCTCTCGATAACCGTCTAATTGATTATCATTAGAAGAAGATCCACACATTACCCTTGCAGTTGATCCAGGAGGTGCTGACACACCCACAAAACAGAGTCCACCGGGTGCGTCAAAATTTAACTGACTTTTGCTTATAGCCTGGGTGATCTCAGTGACTAGGAACCTTCGGGAAGAGCTTCTTTTCCTTCGGGTACTGCCCTTTTCGTCACTCCATATATTTCCGGCCAGAACCCATCGCCCAGTCTTTTCATTCAGCCACCAAAGTTTGACAGTCGTGTTACCATTATCATCTACACTAATGTTAAGCTGTTGAGGATCCAAAAACACTTTCATAGGTTTCGAAGGAGTTAACTCATTTCCGCTAGTATCTTCAAAGTTCACCCTCATCATGCCAAAACTCGAGAGAATCTGTTCCTCTCCGTCTTCATCAACGGCTGAAAAGTCGCCAGGAGCTGACAAGATGTCAGATGCGTTTCTAGGATCGACCAGGTTCAGTCGCATATTAGCTTTGCCAAAGTAACTGGTTCCGTCTTCTTTCAAAAGAGAACCTCCAGGGACCTCAAGATCTGCAAAAGCAGAATCATCTGTCTCTCCGCCCAAAGGAACACTGAGATCCTGAGATGTATCGAAAACTACTGGCCGTTGCTTTGTGACTAGGACAACCTTTGTAATCACACTCTGGCCCTCTTGAAGATGAAAGACTTTTGTAAGATCCTCAAATTCTTTTAAAAAGGTGTCTTTGAAAGTAACAGCTAATCGTTTTCTTCCATCTCTAACTTCAAAAGAAAAGCTACCACTTCTAAAGTCTGCGTTCGTTTTTCTTTCTCCATCGTACTCAATTTGGGCAAATTGAACTGGCTTTTCCTCTTTTCCGCCCACGACAACGCCTCTGATCGTTAGAACAGCCTTTTTACAAACTCCACAGCCACAATATTTTGCCTTGGAGAGCTTAAATTCGGCGACACTTCCGCAAGCTATGTTCAATTCTTCAACCATTGAGACTCCACAGCAAAATGTTTTGTCTTTGCAAGCGTTTGAGTTGTCTGAATCGTTCTGAAGGCAGGGTACAGATGGACAGTCACCAACGTCAACCACATTTTTTGTCGTGCCCTGCTGTACACAATTTGGTGGAAGTTTCAAATGCTTTGTTCTGGGAATTGGCTCACAGAACGCCTCGTGCGCATCTGCCGGATCAAAATTAGTAAATGAACTAAGATGGTGCTTCGTCTCGTGAAAGTGATAATGGTTTCCTGACCAATCAATTGGCCATTTCCGAATGACGTTTGGCCTCTTTATCAAAACGAGGCCTGGTGCTCGACGACTCGTATAAAAATGAGTTTAATTTGCACGTGAATGAAAACTTAAAATCATAGGAAAGGATAGGCAGCAGGACTCGCTTTGAAAAAGATGCCAAAGGTAATTCGGAATTGGGCCAAAAATTCATGAAAACACATCCTTGTATTTAACATTTCATCATGATTCCAAGCCTATCAGCACTTTGCACGTCAAATACTAGACAGTCTCAAAATATGCTGTTGGTCGATCTTGTTGTTAAAAACTCATAACAATTTCAGATTTTTCCTCAAACTAGCTAAGTTTCTTTAAAAAAAAATACCTCCACAGTGAAACCAACATCTCTAATTTAATTTGCTCTTTTAGTAGAGATTAGACCTCTTACGGAAAATAATTTTAAGAAAAATAGATAAAACTAATTTACAGATTTAGCCCAGCCTTGGGCGCACGAATAATTCTTTCACTTTTTGAGTAACTATATAAACATCGATTCGCGCCGAAATGTAGGTTAATTTTTGCAGAATTTCCCTGTTCCCACGAAACAACCTTCAAAAAAGATCCTTTACGAAGCTTGCGCATTTTTGAACATCAAATAGGACAGCCGTTTTCCAATATGCTTTCGGCGGAAAAGTTTGAAACCATCGTTAGGACAAGATACCTACCAACTATTTTCAAGACTACTCCGTCAGAGAATTCGGACCCAAAGTCGTTTACTACTCGACAGCGGTAACTTCCATTAAACCCATGCTCAGCAGTGATTTTAAGAGTGTTGTCAAAACTGTACAGTTCCTTATCGATTATGTTATTCTCCTTAAACCTGGAGAGGTAACCAAACTATTTATTAATTAAAACCTTAGTGTGTGCACATCTTTCAGTAGAAACTTGAAGTCACAAACCGCTTGGAGCTTTAACCCCAGTGATTTCGCCTTTGTACCAAACCCTTTTCGTAACAGGTTAAAAGTGTGGACTCCTTACAACCAAATTTGAGAAAAATTGCAGCCTGATTTCAGAAAACTATTATTTTTTTCAGCATAGCGTAAATCGCCACGAACCTGTTTGTATAATTGTATTTGGTCGCGTCTGTATTAATACGACCCTTATGTAAATGAATCAATAGATAAATAAATAATTCCTGGGTGGAAACGATTCAAGCTTTTCGCATTTTAACAACAAGCAATGACATAAACTTATTGAGTCGCCGGATAGAATGAAATATTTTCTTACCATTCAATCTCCGGTGAAGGGTTTCCTTGGCCATTACAACAAAATGTAACATTCTGACCAAACAGCCGAATTTTGCTTTCGGGATGGATCGTCACAAATGGCGGAACTGCATGATTTACAAAATGAGATACTGTGTGGTTGTTGCTACAAGTATCTTTTGCTCCTTTTTAAGTAACGAATGTTGCCTTTCGGAGGCCTAACTGTTCATTGAGAAGTTTCTGTCTTGTAGGAAGTCACCAAAGTTCAGTGAGTCAGTCAGTCAGTCAGTCAGTCAGCCAGTCAGTTAGTCAGCCAGTCAGTTAGTCAGCCAGTCAGTCAGTCAGCCAGTCAGTCAGTCAGCCAGCCAGCCGATGAATCAATCAATCAGTCAGTCAGTTAGTCAGTAAGTCATTCGGTCAGTCAGCCAGCCAGTGAATCAGCCAGTGAATCAGTCAGTCAATTAGTCATTCAGTCATTCGATCAGTCAGTAAGTCAGCCAGTGAGTCATTCAGCCAGTCAGTCAGCCAGTCAGTCAGCCAGTCAGTCAGCCAGTCAGTCAGAAAGTCAGTCAGTCAGTCAGCCAGTCAGTCAGTCAGTCAGTAAATCAGTCAGTCAGTCAGTCAGCCAGCTGGTCAGCCAGTGAATCAGCCAGTCAGTCACCCGATCAGCTGGCCAGTCAGCGAGTCAGTGAGTCAGCCTGTCGGTCGATCAGTCGTTTAGTCTGGCATTAAGTCAGTCGATCAATCAATATGACAGTCATTCAGTCAAAAAGGAGGTATGATATGTAAGAGGAAAATACCTGCAATTTCCATCTTTGCGATAATGGTGGCCTTTTCTTGAGTCAGAACAACAGCTTTTTGTGTCACAGGAACAAAACCATCTTTAGTCACAAGCAACTCTTGGTCATCCGCACACACACCAAGTGCTGTGAAGTGTCCACTTATGTTCGTCTTTGCAAGAATGTTGTAGGGTGTTCCTGTCAATGATATTTTTGCTTCCGATAATGGTGTGTCATCTACTGTCACAACTCGTCCAGTTAGCACGTGATGATCACATGTACATGCATCACACGCGGCATTCAGTGTTCCAGTGGTACAATTCTGCGAACAATCTAAAAAGAATGATGACAGAAGAAGTTACCATGGGTGTGAAGTACAGAAGAATGTGTAGTTAGCCCTCTCAGCTAGAAAGAAAATTTAATTCCGGGAGCTACCATTAAGAGACCTGAGTTATTAGAAGGCACTGGTAGTAAAATAGCCCGATTTATTACTAACAGTTAGCCTTATTTTGTGTGTACTCAGCGTGCTTCATTCGTTAGTTTATGGGCCTCTTTTATAGTGTTCTGCGCGGAGATCTAAATTGGTATCGTCAATAAAAGTGCATGGAAGTAAATGACAGTTACAGAGAACAAAAATCAACCCGGATCGTGATCACCAGCTGCCGGCTCTTCTAAGATGAGACCACTGAGTTGACGATGTCCAAACTCTTCTAGAATAGCAGTGTTTTGCGCTATATCAAAGCCGTTTTGTTATCAGTGTACGCGCTGACCCTGTTATTTAATGTTTCATGAATGAAAAGGGGTTTAGACAAATTAGGAAATAGGGACAAACTCGTTAAGGATCTCATTAAATAACAAGTTTGGTCTTGTGACTCGCTAACAATTCAGATTACCTGGACAGCTCCATTCTGCGCATGGTTTGATCTGATCAGGTTTTCCAGCACATGTAATCGGAGCAAAGACTGCTCTTTCATTAATGGCCACACACTTTCTTTTTCTATATCTTGAACCAGTACCACATGTCTTCGTGCAGTCACTCCAAGAACTCCAACGAGACCACTTAGATTCTGCAAGTCCGGTAAAATATGATTAGGAAAACAACCAAATTAAAGTAATTTTTCCAGTCATCTACTTCAATTTAGTGCTTGTGCTCGCCTTGGGCGATTGACGCAACTTGTCGAAATTAATGATGCACTGATTAATGCAATTGTCGAAATTATGACGCAATGGGGCTGAGAAAGAAATAGAGGAGCTTTTTATAGCTTGGTGCTCCTGACTCATCCTTCGCAGTTTTAAATGGTGAGGTATGGTAAAAACCTAGCTTTAGAGTAAAAGTGGATTTTATATATACAACTCAAATTGAAATAAGTATGCAGGTCTTATGATATAAGGAAACTGGACACTTGAATGAAGGGTAAGGATTTCAAAAGCTGTGTTATTTGAAAGGATGTGACGAAAATATTCATCTTATGATTAAGAGGAGAGCTCAAGCTGCCAAAAATGCTAAATTAAGCGCCATAGATGCTTATTTTAAATTCTGCCGAGTTGAGAGTTTCAAATACATTGAACTACCACCGTGGGTGAAGGTTTTTTCCACAGTTTGGTACTAGGTTGTATTAACGAGTTAAAACATTTACATTTTGTAGTTTCTAATCTAATATCTAGTTGCTTTTGATAACACATGGTATAGGTCCCTTTTTATATTCCGAGTCATCACGTTCTTTGAAATAAGTATTTAATTTCCTGACATCTTCCTCACCCATCTTTATCACCTTCCATAATATTTCTCCGTTCTCATCTCTACCCACCATAAGTTCACCTCTCCTATTTTTCAAAACGAACTATTTTCAGCTACAAGATTTTACACATCTCACCTGTGTTGGGGACAAGATCTGCAATAGCTGTCCATGGCACTATACTACTGGTTGGTAAGATGCTACTCCTTGTTGACTCTTGGTTAGGTTGTGCAGATGTTTCTTCCGGTTTAAAGTCAGCTGATGTGGCCGTTGGTGTGGGTTTGGTCACAACTGATGAGGGTGAATGTGCAACTTGTGAGGTAAGTAAAAGGATAAAAAGCTCTCAAGACAAATTTTTGAATGAATGAACTTGAATGAAAACTTTATTTAGACACGTGGCATTGATGAGTCTAAGAAAAAGACTCGTTACAAAAATGTACGTGTATCTACAATAGCTATAGGCTAAGAAAATGTATTAAAAAAAAGACTAAGAATATTGCGCAGAATTTAAAACCATTTATACCCAATCAGCTACAATAAAATCTACTCAGAGTAGGAATCAGAAGTCCTGGCTTAACTTAACTTTCTTAAGTTGGGTAAGAAAATTTTTAAGGTTGGGGGCCTCTCTAACATGCGAAGGTAAATATTGTTCCAGAGACGACACGCAATATACGAAAAAGATCTGTGTTTAGAACTAGTGTTGGGGGCCGGCTGATCGAGTCTGCTACCAATACCGCGAAGATTGTAAACGCAGTTTTTAATTCTAAACACATTACTTGTATAATTAGGATAGCCTTTGTACACAACTATGGCTTTTTCTAAGAGCATGATCGCAATGTTCGAAGGTCAGGCCAGTCAACGAGTCTTTGAGGCTTCTGATCCCCCAGCATACTATGCAATATTTTCAAATTCTTTTCTCTTTCTTACGATTTAATTTGTAGAATAAACAGTACGTGAAATTTGGACCTATACTGCTGTGCCCATCAGAGAACATGAGGTGTTGTTCATCTCAGTTGACTCAAATTATCTTTCTCGGATTTCTCGGAAGAATAACTGATTATATATTTGTATGATAAGTATCTCAAACTTTTCCAAAAGAAACCATTAAAGAACGATTTGATTCATCCTCCTTCTTTGCTTATTTCGTTTCTGCTGAAGTTCAAATTAAATCATTTTTGGCCAGGAAACCATGGGACCCTTAAAGGCAGGAAATAATTGTTTTTTTTTTTCTTTTTTTTAAATGTTCGCATTGCTGATGCAACCAACTTCGATTAAAGCTTCTTTCCCATTTTCGCTGTCTCAACAATGTACTGAAATGTTGAGAGCCTTCTCACCAAACCGTCGCTAATAACGCATCTCGCTGATCCGATGAAAGTTCTCAGATCTGATGTGACTTACATGGGTAATATAAAAAAAAATTTTGAAAAACAATGAGGATGGTGTATGAAACTGGTGACCATTTGCCGAAGTCAACCTAAAGTTTTATTCAAAACATCAGCTAAAAAAGCTAACTGGATATCAAACTCTGAAAATTCCTCCGAAAACTCAAAAACCCAACTGTAATATCAAACTCGAAACCGATCCAGACTGAGCATGAAATGTAAGCAATCTCTCTCCTGTTGTAAAGCTTATTCAAGAGCTCACAGCTGGTTTTGTGATCAAAGCTACAAAAACATCACGCAGCTGACTTCAGTCACGTTCCGATTACATGCTTTTGTTAGACATTGTTCACGTTTACCTATTGCAATATTGTGTTTTTCACGATATGCAAATCTTTCACTTGCGCTGGTAGACTGCTGCGATTCTATCTCAGTGATTTAAATTTTGTTCTCCGAGTGACAATGCATCTTAGATGCGCCATTTCGTTCATTCAAATGGCAAGGATAAAAACCAAAGAAAGTGTTCGAGGGCAAACATCCATGGTTATCAGTTCTTTTCCACAACGTTTAGAACATAGCCATATCGAGAAAGCAGAATCCCACCTTCTTTGATAAGAATGCTGTCGTTGTTTTTCATCATCTGAAATCTCTTTGTTTCGCTCGTAAGTTTCATTCAAAGCCACGTTCTGTAACAGATTAACCTTTGAAGCCCATCGAGGTGAAAACAGGGTCTACTTGTCCCAACGAATTCTGATAAACGGCGAAAACATTTAGCTACGTAGACCTTGAGAAAAATTTGACAAGTTACACCTTTTGCACATTCAGATCACTTCTTTTGTTGGGCATGTTTCATTCTTACTCAGAATAGCCAATTTGATTGACCCGAGTCGAATTGCCTCCTCGTATACAAGTTTTGATTCTTGATACAAGATTACTGTGATGTGGTCTGGCCTGTTTACTGAGAATTGGGGGGGAGGGGGCATCTTCAAATAAGTTTCCTTCGATTGTTTGTAAACTGCTGATGCAGTCCGGCCAAAGTCCCCCGAAAAGCGTTGTGATGCGCATTTAATCATATCCACATGTTAATTTGCGCAATATAAATATTAAATTATTATTATTATTATTAAATACCTGTCGAGCTTAAGCGAGTTTTCGGGGAAGCAGTCACTTCCAGTTCTCCAGTTAACGGTCCCTTGTATATGGAACCTTGTACAGCTACGAAAAAATAACAATAACAAAGGACATGAGCCATGTGAGCACATGCAGGTCAGGCACTGAAAGTGATGGTCACCAGAAACCACTTATATAAGATACGAAATTCTACAAATATCTATAAATAATCAAACCAGTTCTAGCAACGTTTTCAAGCGGCTCTTTCTGTACTTTAATATATCGGACCTTGTTTCGGCAGACAAAAGCTAGACCAGATCAGTAAGAAATAACAAAGCGTAAACAAGAAAACAGCAGTTTCCCGATGCACCTTCGTGGTTTATATCGTAACCAATAGTTCATCATTTAAATTCAAATTATTGAACTGTAGAATATTTACTCAGTAAGAAATAAAAAGGCGTAAACAAGAAAACAACAGTTTCCCGATGCACCTTCTTGGTTTATATCGTAACCAATAGTTCATCATTCACATTCAAATTCAAATTATTTAAGTGTAGATTATTTACTTACGTTCGTTTTCGGCATCGCGTAGGTGTTTTGGAACATATATGGCGATCAGGGTTACTGCAAGGATGACAATAATCACCGCGGAAATTACAACAAGGACGAGTACAAGTTTTCGTCTGGGTCTGGAAGTCTTTTCTGTGGGCTTCTCCACGAAATATTCATCATTCTTCGTAGGAATATCAACCAAAGGCACCATTTGTTTTTCTACCGACTCCATCGCGAAAACTTTATCGAAAGACAGTTTGTTCAGCACTGCCACGCCATAGAGTCACGTTCTTCTTGTACTTTATTCATTTGGAGTGACAACAGGACGTAATTGCGACTGTCCAATCAGCTTCGTCGTAAATAAAATGATGTTGGTTGTCTGTTGTAAGTAGGTGAGGTGGAGCGTTAAAAATAGCGGTATGAATTAATCATAATCAGTTTTAAGGTGCATTTGTTTACATTGATACATCATATGTATGCATATAATGTACACGCACAAACTCCGACGCTAACGTATTCTCACGTGCGTCAGCAAAACCGCCAGCTATCGCTGCTATTGCTAATCAACACTAGAACATGGAAGTTGAAGCCGCGGTGAATAGTGGTGGATATCTACAGAGCAGTAAAAGAAGTATCGAGCGCACAGACAGAATAACCAACGTATCAAAACATTGGCCAATAGTGGGAAATCAATTCGACAAAACCTAACTGTAAGACGCTCATGGCGCTACACAAGAAATAAGGTGATCAAAGCCGGAGACGAACTGAACCAAAAAAATTAATTGTAAACGTCACTGAGGCTACTGATCTTCGAAAATAAACTCGCTTTTAAAGTTCGAAAAACCTTTTTCTTCATTATGCTTTGCGCAAAAAGTTTTTATAAACAAAGGTCACAAAGCATTGTACTTTAACTTTTCCTCTGAGAAAATCAAAAGATAAACTTACTTACCATTTAATACCTTCCTACCAAAGTTCAAGTTTGTCTCCAGTCATTTTTAGAACAGTCGCCTCGTTCATCAGATTATTTTCCTCTTAGGCAACCATAGTCTGATTGGAAGTCATTTAAATCCACTCCAGTTGATTGGAGGTAAATTAAACCTAACCAATGCCTCTTGAACTGACCAATCAGAACGCGCAAAGCATCATTTACTTGTAAAGCATATATATGATCATATACTTCTGTACGTAACATTTCTTAAATAGCCGTTGCTCGGATTTCCAACACAAATCGTTCTCCAGCTCTATCTTCGACGATTCCTATAACATAACTTATTTCCCCTTTCAAGCGATCCTCAAAGAACAACGTCTTTGAAACACCACTGAAAATTTAAACCCACCAGAAACTACGTGCATTCATACACGACAGCTATTCCGGCTAGTCACTTTACCCCAGTCTTTCCCAATTTCGACGCCATATTGAATTTCCTCACATGTACTTTTCTTGTTAAGAATGGTTACGATTATCAATGGTGAGATAGTACAGGACAATGATCCGAGAGCGCAAGAGTTTCGAAATCGTGGACGAAGACAACAACAACAAGAACAACAACGAACGTATGGATCACAGAACCAAAACTATCCTCCAGTCCAACAAGGGGGTTCTATATTCGATCAACTTAACAATCGACTGATTTCGGCTGGTTTTCCTCGATGGAATTTGGGACAAAATGTCGTCGAACCGATTGTATCGGTGGCGTTGATTCTTGCTCTAGTTCTCTTTGGCTTCCAAGGTTTGTTATTGGTCGGTGTTCTCTGGTTCATCATGCAACAAAGTCGACGATGAGCAACGTGCAGGACTTCGCAAGAAATTAAATCACATGGCATTAACGAATTTTATTCAAATTTCAAGCAGCTTCTACGTGTTATTGAAGTCATGGATTCACTGCTGGACAGAAAATAGTAATAAATTAGCTTACATAGTGGTTTTTATTGGCGAAGGCTCTTGTACAAAAGTAATAAGATTGATTCTGGTTAATTTTAAGAAGAGTACTAAAAGTCAGTTGAACAAGTACTAGTGAAGGTTACTTATCCTTTCCCTCCCACGATCTCATTATTAACTCTCCTTACATTTTTTATGATGTTAGTTGGGAGAATTAATTTTTTGATATTGGATCAGCTAATCTATTTTTCTTTATTCTCAACACTTGTCTGCTTGATATTGCATTAATATTGTAAGGAGAACTTCTGTCTTGATCACTCATGGGAGTTTTAGGGTTAATGAGTGGGTTGAATGTCATCTTACCAGGCCACTTTCATTCATCTCTCTAAATCAGAGCAAACAGTTATTGACCTAAAAAGAGTTAAATAGTGCTAAATGTTTACTCAATTGAGGTAAATATCCATCACTTTTGATATCACTGAAGTCAAGAGTAGCTTAGACTTTTCACTCCCAAGATCTCATCAGTTGCTTACTGCCTCAGAATTCTTTTGATGTTAGTTTGAAGAATTTGACTCTAAATCCACTAATAATCCCCTAGTTTATATTTTTCTCTTTCATTACTTGTCTGCTTGATTTTGTTTTGGTATTTTGAAGAGAAACACTATCTTGGTCACTCACTGTAGTTAAAGCGTTGAGCATGCACCACATTAGATCGAAAATATTACATTATTTGTCAATTTACTGTAAAATGGTCAGCAATTTCACTCCTGACATGCAATTTTGTCTCATCTGGGACATGATGGTAAATAATACTTGCTAACCAGGGCAAAGGTGACCCATGAGGGTGTATGAAAGACACTCCACCTGTGTTGTATCTTTGTTACCCTATAAACCCTATTAGTATAATTTCAGAGCTGAGCAAAGAGTTTCCAGCAATCTGATTGGTCAAGCGGTTCCTTATATGATGCTATATAAACTGCTCCATGCGGTTTATATAAAATGTTATGATTTTAGAAATTTCTGTTGTACAGCTCTGAAATTATACTAAAACAATTATTCGCCTCAGGTTCAGCATATAATTGTTAAATATCAGTCTGCACATTCTTTATACTGTTCTCTATACAATTCCGAAGGACCTTTTCAGCCTAACAGTCTGCATATTCTCCATACTGTTCTCTATACAATTCCTAAGGACCTTTTCAGCCTAACATCAGTCTGCATATTCTCCATACTGTTTTCTATACATTTCCTAAGGTGCTGACAAGGAGAATTTGTATAACAATCAAGGGCTTCTTTAGTTGGTGATCATTTACTTTATTCTTGTGACCTAAATCTTTAATTCAGGAGGATATTGAGAGGAGAAATAAGGTGATAGTCACTCTTAGAGAGTGACTCAAAGAGTTAACGATAACTGTTGTTAGTTTCCCATCTCGTTTACTAAGGTGGCCCCTGGTCATTCCAATTTTAGCATGTTCAAGAAATGCAGTGACCAAAACAAAAAACAAAAAAACACAAAGAAACAGTGAAGTTAAAGGGTACCACAAAGTTAAGCAATGAAAAAGGGCAAGGATTGCCAAGAGCCCCAAATCTTGCCATTTTTTTCTTTCTTCCTGACACACTTATCAAAGAAGATATATAACACAAGATGGACACTGCAATTATCAATTATGGTTGGCTATACCACACACAATTGAAGGACAGAAACATGTTGAGACATCACAAACTTTATTGAACCTATTCCTAATGTACAAGAACAACTGATGTGGAAGGCAGGCAGTCATATCTACGGTGCACACTCAAGTCTTAAGGGAGCCCACCCAAAGCTGTGCTTTGCAATCACTTGAGACAAGCTCAATTTACATTCAACAACTCGTGTATCTCAATGGAGCAAGAAACTGAATAAATTGAATTCTTTATATACAATGATCCAGATTGTAAATAATTTGTCTCATTACGTGCTATGCTTGATGTGAGTTTCATTTTCGTCTGGTGATAATTATGTAAGAATAAAAGTAAAAATGTACATCACTCTACAAACAGCAGACTACTTTGCCAATGGCAAATCGTCGATGTTCCCCAAAACGGCTTTGCTTGGTTTACTTGCAACTTTCCAATACTTTAACAATTTTTTCGATTCCATGACCACTTGTACCACTCTATAAGAATCAAAAACACAAAAAATAAGTTTATATTTAATACCATTAACCCTTTACACTTTTACAACAGTATACATATTCTCCATAATGCTCTCTATACATTTCCTGAGGTGCTGACAAGGAGAATTTGTTTTACAATCCTGAGCTACTTTAGTTGCTGATCATTTCCTTCATTCTTGTGACCTAACTGTGTGATTCAGAATGATATTATCAGGAAAAATTTGATGCTGCTCTCTTAGTGGTTAATGCATTAAAATCAACATTCTTGGTACCGTAACACAAGTGGTGAGTGACAGTGATGCATCTATGGAATGCTGTAAAGGGAGGAAAGCCTGAGAAAGCATCCATATATCCCTATATCCCACCCTTATCAATTTAGAATTTGTTAATTGCTTACCGTGAGTTTGATGAAGCGGAGGAATTTTCGCAAGACATTGATAAGTAGAGAAAAGTCACCATCAGGTAAAAGACTCCTGACAAAAGACTGGTTTGCCTAATAGACAATGATAAGAAATAAACAATCAAAGAATTATTGAATAAACAGATTCACTACTCAAGTGAGAAACAATTTGATTCAGCAGCTGAGTGAAGTGGCTCATCTTGTCACCGCTGATCTTGGTACTTTTGGTTTAATCAACAGAGTTGACAATGTCAATTGGCCACCATTAAGAGTTTCAAAGCTGCTGTTTTGAGCATTAGCCCTTCATCAGTGTGATCTTTTCCTTAACCCACTTCCAATTCCTCATTTGCTTGGATGAAGGGCCAACACTAGAAACATCAGCTTTCACACTCTCTACCATCGCCGATGTACACCATCAACTCAGTTGATAAAACCAAAATTGTCTTGTTTCTCCCATTGATGCAGCATCGCAGTTTCTTTAGAAACTTACCCCTTATGTTCAGAGCTGATCACAGTTTCCTTAGCAAGAAGTGACAAGGAGCAATGCAACTCCCACCAGGGATGCTATGCCATTACAGATTCCCCCTTATCAATTCATCAGGTTTTCCTGACAGCTCTTTGTTATCCAACTATACCTCAGAATAAAGAGGTGCCATGAAAGTAAAGTGCACTGCCCAAGGACACCACACAGTGACCTGGCCGGGTCATGAACCCAAGCTTCCCACTCAAGGGTCCAGCATACTAACCTTTGGGTCACCCTGTGACAAGTGTTGTATATTCAATAAGTGAAGACACACATTCTTCAATTCCTTTCTATATTGTCTTTATACATTGATAAAGTATCTAATCAGCTGGTACAATGATCTTACTTGCCCACAGTACTTTCTCATCATGCAGTAATCCTATGGTAATATCACTAACATTAACAAAAGTACTTTAT